ACTAATAAATTTGACTCTGTTATAGATAGAAACTTCTGCTCATCAAATGACATCATTAAGACAATGGAAAAAGCAGCCCAATTAAAGGGGTAAAAGATCTGCTATAGATAAGTAGATATAGAGATAGATATGTAGATAGATAGAAAGAACAAAGAACTTTTATCTAGAATATATAAACAATAAACCAATAAGAAAATCAACTAAATAGAAAAGATGCACAAAGCTTTAAACAAGTACTTCACACATACACAAAAATCCCAATGGCCAATTCATAGTACTGTGTACTCAACCTCACTGGTCTCAGGGAAATGCAACTTAAAACCACAAAGAGATAGCAGTACATATCCTAAGATTTGCTAAACTGAAAAAAGTCTATTGCCACCAAGTACTGGCAATAATATAGTGCAATAGGAACATTCCTAAAATGTCTGTAGGAAGAGTAACCAATACAACTGCTCAGGCATTGTTTGGCATTATCTATTGAATTTGAAGATGTACATATCTTATGACTTATTAATTCCACTTCTACATATGTAGTATAGAAAAATATATGCTAATATATACCTGGATACATATATAAGATAGTAACATTGCTTGTAAATAGCTCAAAACCAAAAACAACTCACAAGTCCATCAACAACAAAAATGGGGTGTATTCATTTAATAGAATACTATACAACAACAAAAATGAATCAATTATAGCCATATACAACAATGGGGATGAATCTTAACAATGAGCCAAAGACAAGAACAAAACATTATATAATGCAGAAGTGCATTTATATTAGTTCAAAAGAAGAGACGTATAAATACTTAGGCATCAAAACAATAAAGAAAAACAGAGAGGTGATTACCATAAATATCAGAATATTGACTACCTAATGGGCAAGGGAGAAGGCTATAATCTGAAAAGGGTAGGGAGGGAGCTTCAGGAAGCCTAGCAAAAATCTATTGTTTAATCAGGATGATGGTTACACGGATGATCACTCTACTATGAACCTTTAAACTGTAAATTCGTTTTATGAACTTTTCTGTGCTTTATTTCATATAAAAACATTGTAAAATTCAATTCTTTCAAATATTCAAAATAAAATTCCAAACAAAACCAAAAGGAAACCAAGACTCATCAAAACTGTCCTATTACAATGAATTAAACAGGTACCACAAATATACAAAAGTATATTTTAAAATTAAATCGTATGAAATATAAGGCAATTGTTCAAATGCTGGTACAAATTTGCACAGAGGAGACTGGCTTTTACATGGAACCTAAAGCCCTTTTGTTCAATCTGACCATGAAGAAAGAATAACATGTTCATTTAAAAACATATATTTATTAAGTGCTGTGGTAGGCTGGCTGTAAGAAAGCCTCCAAAGATTCCCACCTCAGAATTCACACCCTTGTGTAATTCCCTCTCTTTGTATAGGCTGGACCCAAAGATTTGCTTCTAATGGAAAAAACAGAACACTTGTTGAGATGTAACTTTCAAGATTAATCTACAAAAAGCATGTGACTGCTGTCTTCAAAACCCTCTCTTGCTCCCTGTGAGGGAAGTCAGCTGCCACACAGTAAGTTATCCTATGGAGAAGCCCATGTGGTAAGAATATGGTATCTCTTTCCAACAGCCAACGAGTGAACTGGGAAGCATTCCTATCCCAGTCGAACCTTAAGATAACTGCTGCCCTGGCCAACACCTGGAGCATAGCTTGGTGAGAAACCCTGAGCAAAGGCACTCAGTTAGTTACTCTGCACCAAGATTCCTGACACAAGATATTAAATGATATTTTTAAGCCATTAAATTTGAGGGTAACTTGTTACACAGCAATAGATAACTAATGAAAATGCCTACTATGTGCCTTGCACATTCCTTTCTCTTAATATGCAAAGGAGAGTCAAGGAAAAAAATAAATAAAAATTAAATGTAGGATTCTAACAGCAAGATGTGACATTAGAACAAATAAATATGTTAAATCTGAAAAGCAGATTCAGAGTCTTGGTTTAGACTCATCATAACTGCAATTAAAAGTCAAGCATAAAATCAGAAAGTTAATTTTCAAAGTCTGAATGTTAATCTTAGGAAAAAAAATCAGAAATAGTAGTTTGTCTCCTGGTCAGTCTGTATTTTGCTTGAATAAGTTCAAGTATAAATTATATTACAGGAGATAAGACCTTTAACAACCATATTCACTTTGAGGATTAAACACACAAATATATACTTTATAATATATGCAAAAAAAAAATAACCACTCACTTCATTCTATCTGTACTAAATCATGAGGTATTAATCAACTACATTTTCTAGACTAAAGTTTACTATTTCCAAATCACTAGTATACCTGACTCCAATCACAGAAAAATTAATGAAATTTAATCAAAGTAACTGGTAAGTTTTTAAGTCTGTTATCCTAGCTCCAAATTTTCAAAGTTTTAAAACTTTGTTAACCTAGCTCCTCAGAGTCCCTTGTGTAGCTAAACCTGATATACTCACAATCATTCAATTATGGATACACTAAAAACAAGAAAACCAAAATATATTAATGACAGTATAATCATTGCATATTAAGAGGCACCGATATCCAGAAGTACTTGGAACCAGTATGTTTCTAGGTTAAATTGCCTATCATAAGAAAATATGATCCAAGAGAGAAAAAAAATCCATCATTCACAAGGATCTTATAAGATTCAAATCAAACTCAAGTTGAAAAATTCTAAAGCACAATTAACCCAGACATAATAACAAAAATATAGGAACACTGATACTAAGGGCTATGTGATCAAAGGCAATATCATAGAAGAAGTTATTGGAGGCCACTGGCCACTGCATCAGAAAGAGGACAAATTAATATAAGAAGGAAGAGCGATCATTGGGAAACATTCTCCACTGATCTCTCCCATTTCTGCACATCTTTAGATAACTTTTGTTCCAAATTATCTTTTCAAGGATGTCTGTTTAGTGAACACCCTGGCAAGACAGAAATAGTGACTTCCTCCAGGAGAGAGGGCAGATTTGTTTTCTGATCAATAAAATAAAAATAGTGTCTCCCTGCAGGGCAAAGACTGAACAGATTTGCTAGCAGACCCCTTTAAAAGACTGGGGTTTCCTAAGTTCAAGGTTCTTTGGTTGTAATATATATCCATTGTATATGCAGAATCTACCAAGGCCCATCTCTAAACCGCCCCTGAGGGACTTGCAGGTCATGAAGCTGATGCTGCCAGATATGCCATGAGTAGTCAAGACTTTATTTCCAACCCAGAAGTCTGATGTCTTCTGCCAGCATCTATGAAACTGTGGTGGACTAACTTGTCAGCTTGCTAGTAAAAATCCCAGAACATTCATAGTTGTTTATTTTATAGTTATATGCTGCATCCTTCTTACCTGAGAAAATTTCAAATCTAAATATGTTGCAATCATTAACAGACACTAGAGAAGTATGAAAAACCTCAGAGGCTAATGAAAACCTTAAATAATTCAAATCATATATAGTGATCAGCCATTTCATTTAACCCCCAGATATCCATATGTTTGGACTGTTCACTTAATTGATTCATTATCAGGTTATTTCCTATGTACCAAATCTCACTCAATGAGTTCAAAGTCGAAGGTAAAAACAACTACATAAAACTACTGCAAAACAATTTCACATTCTGTTTTGAAAGGAGAGAAGGTATGTACGGAATATAAAAAATTATCACTTTTCAAAGAATTTGCTATAGCAAAGACGGTTGAATGTACATACTGAATTAATAATTTTGTTTCCGTATGCTATAAAATGTTCAGCTTTGTTACTCAAAGTGTGGTCCACGGACCAATAGCATCATCATCTGCAGCTTGCTAGAAATGCAGATTATCAGGCTCAAACACACACCCTCTTAATCAGAATTTGAATTCTAAGAAGATCCTCAGGTTATTCTTATGCAAATTGAAGTTAAAGTACCCACCAAAAAAATAAAATTAAAAATCAAGAAGAATATATAAAACTCAAATTCATACTGAAGATAATTTTTAATAGATACTAAAACATTAAAATCACAACTGCTACCTCAGCAAAAGTTAAAGAAACATACAATCATAAACCAGGCAAAGAACATTTAGCTATCAACACTAGCATAACACAGACAAATCCAATCTGAACAAAGAACTTTTAAAAACAAACATCATTAATAGTCCAAAAAAAGCAGAAATATGAAACTAAGATAATGTAAAGTTCTGGCAATGCACACTTAAAGTACTTCATCAAAACAAGTTCTCATCTTTTTATTTTCAAAAATAATAAAGATGGCCTAGAACCTAACAAATATGGTTATTTTTTTTGAGTAAAAAATGTCCTAATTAGACAACTGAAAGTAAAATTATAACAGTTGGGAATTTAAATATAAAACAGTTTTCAAAGTTATTTTAGCATGCTACCAAGAACACAGGATTTTGCCTTTCATTTTCCCATATTTTATACCATTGTGAAATGACTGAGGAATCTTATAAATGTTAAATTAGGACATTCTGTTATAAAATTATTAATAAAAAGTTATCTTTTAGTTATCCTGCATGACTTACACTTTCCAAGTTCTAAATAGGTAGCTATAGTTTTACTTGTTTCCCCCCACCAAGATGTATTTTAATCATAGGAAAATCGTAACCCTCTCTACTTAAGACTTCATTATCTAAATTTTCCTACGTTTTCTTTTCAGGGTGAAAGTTAGGCTGCCATTTGATAATTCTATTACCTATTCTTTATAGCTCTGAGGTAACATCATTATATTCACTCCTATAGAAAACTTTTTAGCACACCTCCAAAAAGGGATTTTTAAAATATCAAGTTGTAAACATAAAAGAAGTTAAAATAACAAAGCTTAAAAAAAATAAAACTCCTGAAAACTCAAAGGCTTTTAAATGTTTAAATAAAATTTTTAACCTGAAATGCCTTCACAAAAATGGAGAAAAAAATGGGAAGAGTCAACAATAGTAAATGACACATTACGTAAAATACACAAAATAATATACCTCTCTCTTATTTCTTCTTGCAACCTTGAGGAATTCCATAAGGATCTGTAGTTGGGCTGCATGTGATTCCTATAATAGAAAATTATAATTGTTCTTTTAAAAACATAACTTTGAGTTCAAAGTTTTCTTTAACACCACAGTATAATCAGTATGAAGCAACCCAACTCATCCATTTAAGTTAGTCTCTTATTTCTATTTAGTTGTTTTCCACTTGCTAATTGGCATTTTTAAAAGCAAGCCATTTCCCCTAAAACTAACTTGAAAAAAACAGGTAAACAGGTGTTTTCAACTACATTTCTCATCGACCATGCAGAAAAAACTATTTATGGGAAATGGCAATTCTGTTATCTGTCCCAGCTTTCTCTTCCACAACCAAACTAATAAAACATCAAGACAAAAACTGTAGTGGAGGAACTTCCCTGGTGGTCCAGTGTTAAGACTTTGTGCTTCCAATGCAGGGGGTGGGGGTTCGATTCCTGGTTGGGGAACTAAGATACCACATGTTGTGTGGTGTGGCCAAAAAAATTTTTTTAATTTAAAAAACAAAAACATAGTGAAGCCAATGTAGTTTCTAGACACTGAAATGACTTTCCCCATAAGAATTTAACTTGCAGGGGAGTAAGAAACATAATAAATAGGAAGAAATTCATGCTTTTCAGAAATCTAATTTACTATTTCTGGTCATTAATTACTCACGCAGATGTGAGAATTAATATATTTCTATGAAAGATTTCAGTCAAACTCAAAAATTTAAAAACAAAATTTTAATATTATCAAGTGTGGGGGGGTAAATAACACACATTGGTAACAGAAACAAAGATTTAATAGATAAATGGTAATTATAAGTTTAACATTTTTTGTTATCAAAAAATAAAATTACAGGGGAACTCCCTAGTGGTCCAATAGTTAGTGCTCTGCCCTTTCAATGCCAAGGGAGTGGGTTCAACCCCTGTTAGGGGAACTAAGATCCCACAAGCACAGCCAAAATAAATAAATAAAATAAAATAAAATTACAAAAAGATACCTTTTAGTATTAAAATGTACACAATGAACCAATGAATTTCAGCTACATCTGATAAACATACATAAAAAGAATATCAAAAGCTAAAAGTGGAATAACAATAAGACATGGTTTATGAACAACTACAATTCTAACTTTCCTATACATATTTTAAAAGAATAAAAAAGTCCAGTGGAGCATTTCTAAAACAAACAAAAATAAGAAAGATTAATAAAACTTTCATTTACCTGGCTATGCAACAGAATTATTTGAGGCATTTTTTAAAATAGACACTGGGACGGATTTTATATGATTCTGTTACTCTAGAAAAGATTCCAGGAATTTATATGTTTATAGATTGATAAGAATACGCCAGTCAAAATTTGAAGACTCACTGAGATATTGCACATACTACAAAAAAGCATGGCCACTTCAGCTTGCAGGATCTTAGTTCCCTGACCAGGGACTGAACCCAGGCCCTCGGCAGTGAAAGCACAGAATTCTAACCACTGGACTGCCATAGAATTCCCCACTTCACTTTCAATGAACTGAAACTAGCTCAAGCAACAACTGAGCACCAACTCAGCTAAATTACTGATTAGACCAAAGAGGTGAGTCTCTTATCCTTGCTCCCTGACAAAGGAAAAGGCAAGACCATTCAGGAAGAAAATATTAACTACTTTAGTCTCTGTACTGCTCTTGAATACAACTTTAAAATTACAAGACAGGGAAAGAAGTAGGAAAAATCAAGAGAAAAAAACAGGCAAAATGGGACTCCCCTGGTGGCCCAGCGGTTGGGAATCCGCCTGCCAATGCAGGGGACATGGGCTCAAGTCCTAGTTGGGGAAGATCCAACATGCCGCAGAGTGGCTGGGCCCGTGTGTCACAACTGCTGAGCCTGTGCTCTGGAGCCCGTGAGCCACAACTACTGAGCCTGAGTGCCACAACTACTGAAGCCCACGTGCCTAGAGCCCATGCTCCACAACAAGAGAAGCCACTGCAATGAGAAGCCCATGTACCACAACAAAGACCCAACACAGCCAAAAATAAATAAATAAAATAAATGAAAAAAAAACACACAGGCAAAGAATGAAATTCACAGGTGACCCACTTGCTGGAATGAGCAAAAAAGACTTTAAAATACGTCTCTATATTATTAAAGAATTAAGTGGGGGTTGGTGGGATGAACTGGGAGATTGGGATTGACATATATACACTAATATGTATAAAACAGATAATAAGAACCTGCTGTATAAAAAAAGAAATAAAAAAAGAATTGAGAAAATGGACAAAATGAGCAAAAAAAAGGAGAATTAGAAAAGAATTGAAAGAACAAAGTATAAACCTAGAAATGAAGAATAAAAAGTCTGAAATAAAAAAATAAAAATAAAAAAACTATGAATGAAGTTAGGAACAGATGGACAGAGCAGAGGAAAGGAATAATGAATTCAAAGACAGTTCAATATAAATTACTTAACCCAATTCAGAGAGAGAAAAAATAAAAACAGAGCATCAGAAATATGTGGGATAATATGAAACAATAAAGGGCTTCCCTGGTAGCTCAGTGGTTAAGAATCCGCCTGCCAATGCAGGAGACATGGGTTCGAGCCCTGGTCTGGGAAGATCCCACATGCCATGGAGCAACTAAGCCTGTGTGCAACTGAGCCCGCGTGCCATGACTACTGAAGCCCATGAGCCTAGAGCTCATGCTCCGCAACAAGAGAAGCCACCACAATAAGCATGCACACTGCAGCAAAGAGTAGCCCACACTCTCCACAACTAGAGAAGGCCCGCACACACCAACGAAGACCCAACGCAGACAAAAATAAATAAAATAAACAAATTATTTTTAAAAAATGAAACAATAAAACATATGACTTGAATCCTAAGCAAAAGGAGAGAGAGCACAGGGTTGAATAAATAATGGTTCACATGTTCAACAAACAGATCCTCCTGTTCTGTGAAACACAAGCAGGATAAATATTTTTTAAATGAAAGCTAGGAATATCACAGTCAAAATGAAAACTAATGTCAAAAAGAACATCTTAAAAGCAGCTAAAAAGGATACACTAGGAGAAGAAGATTAAGAATGACTGAAAATTTCATCAGAAACAAAGGAGCAAATAGAAAATGAAAATATGTCTTTAAAGTATTAAAAGAAAAAAAACTATGCAGAACAAAACTATCATCTATACAAGAAATAGTAAAGAAAATTATACAGACAAAAGGGAAATGACTCAGATGGAACCTCAGATCTACAAGAGAAAATGGAGACATCTCAAAGGGTAAATATTTTGGTTTAAAAGGGTCTTTTCTGTTTCTTTTTTTTGCATCATTTCTTCAAAAGACTATTAACTGTTTAAAGCAAAAATAACGGGTGGGGTTTATAATATAATTTGAATCACAAAAGGCAGGAGCTTGGTAAATTGAAATACTATAAGGTCTTGCACTTTCCATAAAATGGTATATAGTTGACCCTTGAACAACACAGGTTTGAACTGCATGGGTCCACTTATACACGGATTTTTTTCGATAAATACAAACTGCACTACTACACGATCCATAGCTGGTTGAATCCATGGATACTGAACTGTGGATATGGAGGGCTGATTATAAAGTTAGATGCAGATTTACAACTTTGCAGGGGTCAGCATGCTTAATAGCTGCATTGTTTAAGGGTCAACTGTATATTCAGTGTTGACTGTGAATACAATGTCCTTGAAGTGGCATACTATAAACTCAAGGTTGACTGTGCAAAGTAAAAAAGGCATTTTGCAATCTTTAGAGAAACCACTAGAAATACAATAATAAGCAATATGCGAAAAATAGAGAAGATGGTATACTAAAATGAAACCCTGGAAACTCAATGATCTCTAAAGAAAGCAAGAAAGGAGAAAGGGTAAATAAGGAATATATGGAAAAACAGAAAACAAATACCAACATGGTAGACCTCAAGCCTGACCACATTGATAATTATTATATATTACATTTAAATGAACTTAAGTATTTGAATTAATGAGCTTACTAGATTGCATTAAAAACTCAATTACATACAGTTAAGAGACACACTTTTAAAATATAAAAACAACAAAAGAAAAGTAAAAGGGTACAGAAGAATATACCATAGAAACTCTAGTCATAACTAAGCTACTGAGGCTATATTAACATCAGGAAATATAAAAGCAGACTCCAGAACAAAGTATATTTCCAGCAATAAACATATACAATTCATAGTGACAAAGGGGATGATTCATCCAGAAGACGTAACAATCCTAAACATGTATGCACCTAATAACGGGCTTCAAAATACATGAAGTAAAAATCATAGAAATCAATGAAAAATAAACAGTCAAAAATTGTATTTTTAAAACACCCCGATCAATAATTGATGGAACAAGGAGAAAATAAATTTTTGAATAATATTAACAAACTCTACATTTATAAAGCACAGCAAATAACACATTGCTTTTAAATGAAGGTGAACATTTAACAAAATAGACCATATAGTGAGCCATAAAAAAAAAAAAAAATCACAATAAATTTCAATGGACCAAAAGCAAACAAATTGAAGTTACTGGCTAAAATGCAATGAGAAAGATAGAATTCCTACTTTAATCAACAAAACAGCAGGCTAGTTATATGAATGGATGAATTTCAGACAAAGGACCAGAAATAATACATTATCCCAGGAGCTAGGCAGAAAAACCTCGAAATACAGACATCAGGTGAACACTCAATGAGACTGCCAAAAATCTATTCTAGCTCTACCTAACAAAGCTTAAAAAACAAGCTTCAAGATAATCAAACTGTTTTGAAAATACTTAACTACATGCCAGAACAATGTTTAGAAATGTGTAAAGGAATACAAAAATAGCAACACTAAACAAGTTAAAATGTACAATTTCTGGCATCCAATCAAAAGAATAAGCATGCAAATAAGGAAAATACGGCCCAAAATAAGGCGAAAAAATTCATCAATAAAAACAGATGCAGCAATGACACAAGTAATAAAATAAGCAAATACAGTCATAAAAAAGTTACTATAACTACCTATATGTGTTCTCCAAGT